TGTCTGTCTGTCTGTCTGCCTGGCTCGCTGGCTGGCTGTCTGTCTGTCTGTCTCTCTGTCTCTCTGTCTCCTGTCTCTCTCTGTCTGTCTCTCTCTGTCTGTCTTTCTCTGTCTGTCTCTCTCTGTCTCTCTCTCTCTCTGTCTGTCTGCCTGTCTGCCTGTCTGCCTGCCTGCCTGTCTGTCCTGTCTGTCCTTGTCTGTCCTTGTCTGTCCCTGTCTGTCTGTCTGTCTGCCTGCCTGCCTGGCTGCATGTCTGGCTGTCTGTCTGTCTGTCTGCCTGCCTGTGGCCTGGCCATAGATCCAAGATGTGTTGGGCGCCAACACTACTTCAATAATCTAATAGTATTTCCTCCATCACTGACAGGGTCCAGAATCCAATGACAGCTCCTTTTTGTTCCTACTGCTTCCTCAAACTGATCTGTGAAGCTCTTCAAATTGGTGAAGCAATCACCTCCTGCTTTGGATGGGTGGGATTTTTTTGAATATGTCTTTTGACTTTTTCAAGACCCATGGTCTTCTTCTTTTTCTTTTTCTTCTTCTTCTTCGAAACGCATTTTTGTTTGAACAACACCCGTGAATCTCTTCCACACTCGACCAGGTGCTCCCTTCTCCGGGTACGCCGCCCCGGCGCCGGTGCCCGTCCCGGAGCTGCCAGTGTGGCATCCAGACGCCAGGCATCCAAAACCGGCGCGCGAAGCGGAGAGGAAGAAGAATTGGAAGGGGAAGAAGCAGCTTTTTCGAAGGCTTTTCACTTCGGAGCCAAACATGATCTGAGCTGGCCTCTTTTTCAGTCCCTAAATCCCTACTGTACCGCCTTGTGGATTCAACGTGCCAGGTGGCCAGCGGCAGCGCCGGTCCCTGCGGGGCCCATGCCGCTCAGGTTCGACATCGTGTGGCTGGGGCACTATTAGCCGAAATGTTTCAAGTTTAAAGTACACTCCCAAGCCTTGCGGCGCTTGGGCTTCTCTACAGAAATTAGTTTCACGCAAGATCAATTTAAAGGAAAACGTTCCATCCACACAGCGAAAAACTGTGCGCGTGTATTCATAAATATACTGAATACATATGCCTCATGATTTGGGTGGCACTTCGATAGGCCAACCGTCCCTATGTTTTGACTTATGTCACACCGCTGTTCGATGTTTGCCCCCCTTTCCCTCCGACGAGGCATCTTTTGGGGACACCACCAGAGCACTCCACCGGAGCTCTTACGGGATGATCAAGACACACACAGCTTATAGGATTTGTTCAATTGATCCTTGTTGGAACCATGGTGAAACCGAGGATTGATATACTTGAAAGCTCTCATTTTTGGTTTAACCGTTTGCTCCCTAGGAGCCATGGTGTCGAGGCGAACGTAAATTCCTTCAATCAAGACGTCGGGCGAATGCAGAAATCATGATTTCGGTTTCGAGGTTTCAAAAGGTGTGGGCCTTGCAAATTTCAAAAGGTTCGGGCTCAATCAGGAAAAGAGACATATATATGATATATGCTGACACGACGATCCATGCGGATGCCTTCCAATCCGAAGGATGCGGTTGAGGCTTTGCCTTCGCCTGGGGGCTTGAACGGCCCTAGGGCTCTAGGGCAATGATCAAGTATAGGCCCGTGGCTGGCAGGTCTAGAGTGTCGCGACACAACCTTCTTAAAGCCGGAAGGGAACCCTCAGCATTTGGGGAATAGGATGAGATGCACTTTCGTTTGTAAGTGGGAAGCACTGGGAAGAACGGATGGCTGATGGCTTCAAACGCGCCTCGAAAGTGTGGTGCGCAAAAGCTTGGCGCCATGATGGGTGCAGAAGAAGGGGAAGAAGGCGTCGGAAGACGTCTGCTTTGGGGAAGCATAGCAGGGTCACACTCCGGGTTTGCAAGTTAAAGGAAAGTATGATGTATTGCTTAAGAGTACCATCAAAGGTAGAAGGCAAGAGTTGTTGCTTTTGTTTTGCTGCTTCAAAGTACTCAAAAGTAAAGTATAATTGCCCCCCAAATGTAGAAGGAAAGAGTGCAGCTGACCACCCACGAAGCGCAAGTGCTTTGGCCAGCTGAGCGTGGCGCCAGGTGCACCGTAAGTGCTGATGTGACCACATGCCAATGGAAGGCCGGCACGGCATGGTTTGTTGAGAGTTTGCGACGTTCGTGACGATGAAGTGACACATGTTGCTTTTGGAACTGAACCAGCGATCATAAGCTTCCTGTGCTGTTGCTCTCGTACGATTCATTGGGATTCTGGCCCAAGTCAAGCGCGCTAATTTTTTTCACTGGTAGATGTGTCATGATGTGTCTCTCACACTAGGCCTTTACTATCATCATCCACTGGGCCAATAGGATATAGACCCAACATCAATGGGTTTGTTCGTTCGCTACTAGTAACAAGAAGCTACGATCGGGGCTCCTGGCCTTACTACGAACGGAGCAACGACGCTACGAACGGAGCAAAGGGCAAAGGGCATTGCTACGAACGGAGCAAGGACTACTAGGGGCTCCTGGCATCGACTTCTCATCCATTGTGACAGGCACCAAACTGTGCCTCGTTTTCACCGGTGACGAGGTGGAACGGGAAGAGCAGGGTCGGTGAGGGGTCTTTGATATGGATAGATCGGATAGCTTGTTTGGTAATGAGAAAGTTGTAGTTTTGCTCCGATTTTTCCAATTTAAATCAACACTACTTCAACTTTAGCTTTTCAACTTTAGCTTCGATTGATTCTCTTCCACGTGTATGGAAGATGCTGGAACAGGTGTTCAAAACAGATTACTCAGGTTGAACAAGTTCATGAAAGAGTCCACGGCCCGTGCTTGCACTTTCGATGTTTATTGGTCATACAAACAGCATGATGAAAGTTGCTTTCTTGAAGAAGCAAAGGCCCCGAATAACAATTGGCCAACCCACCTTGTGAATGAATGACTGCTAACATTGGACCTTTGTTATTGTTCCAATATCCGAAGAACATTTCACAACTAGACGACGAGTGGCCCGAAAGCATTTTTCATCACGTAGGAAGTCAGAGTGTGAGTTATCTGTTAAGTGTTCAGTGTGAAGTGTTAAGTCGAGTGAGTTGAGGCAGTGTGTGGGTCTCTGTGTGTGTGTATCTATGTCTGTGTGTGTATGAGTCTCTGTCTGTGTGTGTGTGTCTCCGAGTAAGTTGAGGCAGTGCGTGGGTCTCTGTGTGTGTGTCAACCTTTTAAGAGAGCCGGGTGGTCGGGAGACATGACTCAGCTGCAGGGGCGCCAGAGCAGCTGCGAGAGATGACTCAGCCGCGAGAGATGACTCATCCGCGTACTAAAGTTGCACTGCAAAGTCACCAGTTCTCAGCGTCCAGCTCCACAGATTGCTCCGCGTACTAAAGTTGTACTACAAAGTCGCCAGTTCTCATCTTCCAGCTCCCCAGATACTCC